GCGGAGAGAAACTATTCACAGATCGAAAAGGAGGCATTAGGCATAATTTTTGCAGTAACTCGTTTTCACAGATATATTTATGGGAGAGAGTTCACACTCCAAACGGACCACAAACCACTTCTTACGATTTTTGGTTAAAAAAAAGGCCTAGCAGTCTACACAGCGAACAGACCTTTAAGATGGGGAACTGTGTTACTGAACTATAATTTTAAACTGGAATTCTTACCATCAAAGAAAATAGGACACGCTGACGGACTATCGCGATTAATACCTGCGAAAAGCGAACCGTTGGAACAAGCGGAAGATGAAATCAGTAAGGTACTATGCAATACAATAAGGAACTACCTGTAACGCTGCTAAAGATAAGACGAGAAGCAGAAAGAGACGAGTTTATTCAGGAGACCAAGAAAAAATAGAAGACAAAGTGAAAAATTTAGCAGACAGTTTCTCAATCTGTGACAACATATAATGAGAGAGTAGTAATACCAAAGTCACTACGAAGTAGGATCTTAAAAGATTTTCACTTGGGACATCCCGGAAAAAACCGGATGAAATCACTTATGAGAAGTTTTGTCTACTGGCCGAACATGGACGATGATATCACGCAAATGGTGGAAAGTTGCAAAGGTTGTGCTGCTGCGGCGAAGGCACCACCCTCTATACAAAGGCCATGGCCTAAAGTCGACAGACCGTGGTCCAGAATCCACGTGGATTACGCAGGACCCATTGAAGGTTACTACTATTTAATAACAGTAGATAGTTTCAGTAAATGGCCAGAGGTTGCCAGATTTAAACACCCGACGACAGAAAACACCATAAACTGTTTACACGAACTATTCGCGAGATTTGGCGTCGCGGATTGTTTGTGTAAGCGATAACGGCACACAGTTTACCTCCAGTGACTTTAAAGAATTTTGTGAGACATACCAAGTAAAACATATTAAGATAGCTCCGTACCACCCGAGGTCGAACGGACAAGCTGAAAGATTCGTCGACACACTAAAAAGAGCATTAAAAAAAAAAATGAGGATGTACCGACGATAAAAGCGATGCAACAATTCCTCCAAGTGTACAGAATAACACCTAACGTGAACACGCCATCGGGTCTTTCACCAGCAGAATTGATGTTTGCCCGAGAATAAGGTCTGTGTTTGACAAATTATTGCCAAACAAGAACAAAAAATCAGTATACACCGATTGTACCAAAGAGATCATTCAAACCTGGAGAACGGGTTTATTTTAAAATGTTTAGAAACAATATGGCTTACTGGGAGCCTGGCACAGTAATCAATAGATTAGGGAATCTAATGTACACCATAAAAAGGCGAAAAGTTTTCACATAGAAGACATATCGACCAATTACAGAAAAGACGGATTGAGGAGCCAAGCTCGTCAACCGCAGAAAATGACGATGCTATGGGATACAATCTTCGAAGCGTTTGAGATACAAAGACCGCAGGAAGACACAGAAATGAGAAGGTCAAACAGGAAAAGAAAATTTGTCGAACCCCTGATCATCAACCATAAGAGACAAAATACTAACTCCCCCCCAAAATCTAAGGAGGGGGTGTTATGGGGTCCTCCCTTTTCATATAAGTGGACTCTACCAGTGTTACTTGGACTGCTGCCGTTAAATAGTTAGTCAGTTAGACAGTCAGTGAGATGAGAGGAACGTCGTATACGGAAAACCACTTGAGAGAGAATATATACGAACGGATATTTAGTGTGAGGTAACCTCTTGTAGAAAAATCAGTTACAAGCACGTAGACTCTAAGGAAGTCCTACTTCGAGACTGTATATATCTATCTGTATTTGCTACTAAACCAGCGTTCCTGGACTTACTAACAGTATTACTCTTTGTATGATTGTGTAAATACATTTTATTTCTTATATTTAATTAAATTTGACTGCAAGCCTGTTAACTTTGAAAAAGTAGTCAAAATAGCTTGTATTTGCGTGTAAATCTCAGTGTGTTTCAAACCTTTGTAAAACGTAATATTTGTAATATAACATTGTGAGAAGAGTTGAAATTTGTTCAAATCAATATTTTTTGATTGATACTATATCGATTCTCAATAATTTTATTGGTTTTGTGATGTTTCCAAATAGGAATTTAAATTTCCTTGGAAGCTTGTTTAATGTTGAAAAACAGCTTGCTTTTCCATGTAAATCTGAATATTTTTCAAACCTTTGTAAAACTTTATAATATAACTTTGTGAGCAGTGTTGAAACTTTTTGAAATAAATATATTTTGATCTATACCATATCGATTTTCAATAATTTTAGTGGCTTTCTAATGTTTCCAAACAGCAATTTCAATTTACATGCAAAGCCTATTTAACGTTCAAAAAGTAGCCAAAACATCCTGCTTTAGCATGTAAATCACAATATTTTTCAAACCTATGTAAAACAAAAATATTGTAATATAACTTTTTGAGACCTTTTGAAACTTGTTAAAATCAATATTTTTTGATCGATACCATATCGATTTTCAATAATTTTATTGGCTTTATAATATTTCCAAATAGGTAGTTCAATTTACATGCACGCGTGTTTAAAGTTGAAAAAGTAGCCAAAATTGCTTGCTTTTGCATGTAAATCTCAATATTTTTCAAACATCTGCAAAACATAAAATTTGTATTATAACTTTTTGAGAACTGTTGAAACTTGTTAATATCAATATGTTTTGATCGATACCAATTTTCAGTAATTGTATTGGTTTTCACATGTTTCCAAATAGCTATTTGAATTTTCCAGCAAGCGTTGTTAACGTTCAAAATGTAGCCAAAACAGCTTTCTTTTGCATTCAAATTTCAATATTTTTTAGAGTTTGTAAAACTTTTGAAACTAACAATGTTTATTGTAGTGAAAACAGTTTTCACTACAATAAACATTGTTAGTTTCAAAAGTATCGAATTTTTCTCTAAGTTATATTATTAATTTTTTTTTACAAACTGATGAAAACATTGAAAGCTATTTACACTAATTTCAATTAGTTTTGATACTTTAGACACCGTTCATTTAAAATGTAATTTTTTTTTGAAAACCTTCGAAGAACCATAAAATGATTGAAAATCTATATATTTTCGATATAAACCATTTCATTTTAGCTTTTTCGAGAGCTTACACAAAGTTATATTGTGTGGGGTGGGCAGAACATATTTGGTTTATTTCTCTCTCTGGAGATAAAGCTGGCACAAGGCCATCTCCAGATGTACTTTCCAAATAAGACCTTTTTCCCTATTATTTAATTTATGAAGATCAAAAACTCTTGACGTTAGACAAGAAAAGAAGACATAATGATTCATAGATATCTTGTTTCAAAACATAACAATTGAATTTATTAGTGTTCAAAATACAATTCAAAATGGTATACATGCATGAATACTGAGTGAAAAGGTAGGACAGAGTCGTGTCCCTTTAATTAGGTAATAGTTGTACCTGAGTTCATATTAAAAGGAAGTAATTATTAAACTGTGTTTGGAATTGTATGAACAAGTTAGGTAGAGTTCAGAGATAATACTTGCATGAATTAAGTATTGTTCATTTAACGTCTGACTGGATCAGTCGAGACGGAGTTCCTTTAGGGTCACATTTTGGCGGCGTGTTGAGATGTACGAGTGACGTAGATAAGTTAGGCTCCAGTCAGGAAGAGCAGGAACAGAAGAGAGTGAATACCACACGTGTTGGGTTTATATAATGGTCGTGTATCACGTGGGAGGCTCAGAATTGACTTGGCAACTAAATTGACTCTGCACGTGAGAGCGATCTGATTGGTTGAAACTGACCAATCAGCAAGTTAGATGTACTGTGATTGACCAGTGGTTTCTCGTTGATATTTTGTATGAAAGTAGGATGTTATTTACCGGATAGGAAGAGTGCATTTCCTAAAAAGAGGAAAGGCTGACTTGTTGTGGAAGATTCCACAATATTTAAAAAATAATAATTCTTACAAACTGATGAAAACATTGAACAGACCGTTGAAATTGACAACACCGTGATGGAATTCTCCATATTTGCCAGTTACCCCCTTCGAAAAAATGCACTCTTCCCCTGTGGTGACTATCATCACTATCACGCACATACATAAATACAGATCATACGACAAGCATTCATTAGCTAATCTGCTCAAAATTAGCTTGCTGATTGGTCAATTTCGACCAATCAAATCGCCTGCACGCGAGGAATGATATTTTCCTGCGCACAAGCTTCGGAGCCGATCACGTGATACACCACCTTATATAAACAAAACACGAGTAAGCCTTCTCTCGTCATTCTCTCTCCGTTTTCTCTTGCGTCTCATTCCTTGCTGCCAAAATGTGACCTTCAAGAACTCTCGTCTTGACCTTGCGGTCAGACGTTAAAGAACATTACCAACCTTCATGAAAGTACGAAATCTAAACTCTTCTGAAATCTACCAACTTTTTCCAACTCTCATTTCCTAACATACGGTCAGGATCTGAATCTTCGAAAGATGCCAACAAACTCCACGCGCGTCATCACACTAACCCAACGAACTTTTCGCGCGTTAATTTACTGACTCAACTATCACCATTTCTCTCTCAAGACCTCAACTTACAATTTACTAGAAAAAGTGATATTATTCACTACTATTGTATTTAATCAACTAACATCATACCAGTCAAAGGCACATAACTCCTTATGACTTTAAACAATACTTACAATTGTCACACTAGTATTTGAACCCACACAAGTGACATTTCACAAACTGTTTTAATTTCATAGACAAACTCATACAAGATACGGCGACGCTCTCATTCTGCTACTCGCGCTCGCCGACCCATGCTATGCTGGTACCATCTTAACTATGGTGATAGAGCCCACAGATGCGTTAAGGCTTGTACCTTCAAGTGCCAGCCTTCACCCAAGGCATCACGGAAGGCGGAAAACGCCAATCCCAGCAGCGCTTGAAGGCGGCATCTGCTGTTGGGACACATACTACTAACCGTCTCTTCTATATAAAAGACAGGAACTCTAACATGTCATTCCTGATAGATACGGGAGCACAGCTTAGTGTTGTTCCACCATCACCCAACTTCACTAAGACTAACTCTTCGGTCACCTTACGCGCCGCTAACGGCACGAACATCAAGACTTTTGGTGAACAATCGTTAACACTGGAGATTGGACTTAGAAGAACATACCACTGGATATTCACCGTTACAGGCGTGAAATTCCCCATTTTAGGCGCCGACTTTTTGGCACATTATCAACTCATCGTGGACCTCTCACAGCGTCAGTTATCTGACTCCACCACGAAGCTATCTAACCGCGGAATTATATCATAGCTAACATTTACGAAATTACGCATCGCTGTGATAATTCAATTCAAGATATTCTGGATAAATTTCCCTCGTTGATACAGCCTTTTACCTATACAGAGCCTGTCAAGCACAGCACTGCACACAGGATTCGAACTACCGAACAGCCTGTCTATTCTAAACCTCGCCGTCTTGCGCCGGGCAAATACAAGATTGCCCGGACCGAGTTCCAACACATGCTCGACCTAGGGATTATTCGCCCCTCCTCGAGTCCATATGCCTCACCGCTTCACATGGTCACTAAGGCCCAGCAGGGCGCCTGGAGGCCGTGTGGCGACTATAGACGTCTTAATTCACAAACAGTACCCGATAAGTACCCAGTTCCCAATTTGACCGACTTTGCTGTTACCTTACAGGGAGCATCTGTCTTCACCAAACTGGATCTGCGCAAAGCCTTTCACCAGCTCCCAGTCGCTGACGAAGATATTCCAAAAACTGCGATTACCACGCCGTTTGGTTTATTTGAATTTCTGCGTATGCCTTTTGGACTGTGCAACGCAGCTCAATCATTCCAACGCCTTATAGATGAGGTACTTCGTGGACTATCCTTCACATTCGCATATATTGATGATCTACTAATGGCTAGCCCTAACTTACAGGAGCATCGTAAACATATTCAACAAGTCTTTGATCGTCTTCAGAACTTTGGCTTAAAAATCAACCCAGAGAAGTGTGAGTTTGCCGTTTCGCAACTCCACTTTCTCGGTTTCGTCATTGATGCTACAGGTATTACTCCCCTGCCTGAAAGGATACGTGCTATCCAGGAATTTCCGAAGCCCTCCACGCTTCGACAGCTTCGCAGATACATTGGCTTAATTAATTATTATCGTCAATTCATCCCACGTTGTTCACAAATTCTTGCACCCTTGACGAATATCTTTCGCGGGCAAGACCGTAAAAATACTCCTATTTGTTGGAACAACGACACAACGCAAGCATTTGACAACTCTCGTAAAGCATTGGTCAACTTTACGAAACTTTCATGCCTCACTGACGGTGTTACCACTCAGCTATCATTAACGACTGACGTATCTTCTGACGCCATAGGCGCAGTTTTACACCAACATGTTGACGCTAAATCTTTGCCAATTTCCTTCTTCTCCGTTAAGTTGACGTCCACATAGAAGAAGTCTAGTACCTTTACAAGGGAACTTTTAGCTATATACTTGTCAATTAAGTATTTAAACACCTTTTAGAGGGTAGACACTTTGTGATCTATACAGATCACAAGCCCCTCACTTTTGCCCTTTCAACTAAATCAGACAAGTACAATCCTCGGGACTACAGATATCTTGATTATATATCCCAGTTTACATCAGATATACGTCACATTAAGGGAAAGGATAACATTGCTGCCGATACACTTTCCAGAGCATCCTTGTGCAAGATACTTTGGACATGGAAAATATCGCGGATGAACAAGTACGGGAGATAACTTTGCTCGACTCACTTCGAAATTCGTCACTACATATTGAGTATCATCCCTTGCCCTTTACTGATAAGCTGATCACATGCGACACCAGTCTACGTAATCCTCGACCCGTCGTCCCAACCAACATGCGGCGACGAATATTTGACCACTTTCATTCGTTGTCCTACCCTGGTCGTAAAGCCACACTTAGGGTTATTGCAGACCGTTTCGTCTGGCCTAAGATGCGTAAAGAAAGACATTACTCGCTATACTCAATCTTGTGTTGTTTGTCAACAAAACAAGATCCTAAGTCACCAGTTGGTCGTTTTGCTGCCCCTGATGGTCGTTTCCGACATCTACATGCGGACCTAGTGGGTCCCTTATCAGAGATTCGGGGATGTCAATACATTTTGAAAATTATAGATAGATTTACGAGATGGCCAGTTGCCGTTCCACTCAACAGCACTACCGCTGAATCCGTGGCTCGAGCCATATTTCAACATTGGATTTCCATTTACTGATGCCCCTCGATGATTACCACTGATCGGGGACCGCAGTTCCAATCTCAGCTATTCACGGAATTTACTAACTTACTTGGAGCTCGCCATATATCAACAACTGCTTTACCACCCATGTTCCAATGGCCTAGTTGAGCGGTTCCACCGCCAACTTAAGGCTGCTTTGACCAGTATCGGCCAATCCTCTTGGATAAACAACTTACCTTTTGTCTTACTTTCACTTCGCACACAAGTTAAAGAAGATCTGAAATGCTCGCTTGCTGATCTAGTTTTCGGACAGCAGCTGGTACTACCACGACAATTTTTCTCCGTAACATCTACACAAGAACCTTCATCCAGTTTTATCACCTATTTTCGAAAAAAAAATTCTTCTTTTGTTTTTACTCCAAACCCGTTACACTTCACGTGACGTTTATGTGCCTCCTTCCTTACTGGAATGCGAGTACGTTTTTGTACGGCAGGATTCTGTTAGAAAGCCACTCACACCACATTATGCGGGTCCATTTCGTGTCCTTGCCCGGACATAAATACTATACTTTACAGACTAACCACGGCCGATCGACCTTCTCTACCGATCGCCTAAAACCTGCATGTATTGAACGCGATGGATCAACCAATCGACCTACGAGCCCTTCGCTAGACAGCCCTCAGCTTTCGTCAACAGCATCTACTAGGACTGCTAGCGGACGTACCGTCCACTGGTCTAAGAAATTCAGAACTTTCATTACACATTGAAAACTCTTTCTTCCCTGACTTTTCAATCTTGATGGGGTATTGTGGTGATCACTTACATGTGCCACACCTCCGCTTTCTTTAATGTCATTTGTTCATAAATATATGATACTTACTATATGACAATTTTGCCATCGCACATTATTTGAATTTTTCTCTAAAATCACGGATTGGTCCATTTCCTGACCTATCGCATATTTTAGTATGTTTCTATATTTTTGGCGCCAAGCTCACTTGAGCATATGCATACCTATATAAACTCTCTCGCTGTTAGCCAACGGCAGTAGCAGTCCAACTCTGGTGTTTACCGGTGTCGTTCTTGACTGGCTTCTGGTTATTTTTTGGAACTTTTGCGAACAACTCGACCTTTTTGTGTTACCCTTCGGAACTGCATTTTGTTTAAAGTTTGTTTATTTTATTTACGACTTTATTGTAAAAGTTTTTTAATTTTTTCTTTCTACGCTCCATTTTTTTTCCACCCTCCCCCTTTTAATTTTTTTTTTTTTATTCTGTTTATTCTAGTTTTCCTATTTTAATTTTTACTCCCTTTAATTTTTTACTCGTTTTCCTTTTTAATCTAATTTGCTTTCCGTTTTTTTTTCTCCTTTAATTTCCGCAGTTTTTTCTTCTCATTTCTACCCCTTTTAATTCTAGTTTTTCGTGTTAATTGTCATTTTCTTTATTTTCGTCCTGTCGTCATCCTGTGTTAATTTATTTATTTGTTTTCTTCCTTTTAATTTTTACGTGTTTTTTTTTGCTTGTAATCGTTTTTTTTTTCTCTTTTGTTTATTGGTTCGACTCGCTTAGGGTCGGCCATTTTTATTTTTTGTGTCTAGCTTCGTCTGTCTTCGTTACGTATTTTTTTTGTTTATTGACGTCGGCCATTTTGGATATTTGTAATTAGCTTTGTGTTATTGTTTCGTAATTTTTTGTTGACGTCGGCCATTTTGATTTTATTTTAGCTTCGGCTTTTGTCGAAGGTTTTTCTGTTTTTTTTTTACTGTCTAAAGTTTTTTGTTTATTACGTGTTTGTCTTTTCGCCTTTAGGCGATATTTGTATTTTATTGTTTTCTTTATACGTTTAGGTGAACCGTCTAATTGTTTTTTTTTGGTGTCCATAATTATTTTATTTTGTTGAGTTTATTTTTTTTCCTCTCGCCCATATATTTATTTCCCCCCCTTTCCCCCTTCCCATTCCCCCCTTTAAAATATGGATAAGAAGGAAAAAAAAAGTACCTTCTTTTTAATTACCAAAAAAAAATTAAAATGCTTCTTTTAAAAGAAGTATAAGAAAACACCTATTTAACCCCAAGAAGGATCCCCCGGATAAAGATAATAAGGATGAATATCCTGACCTTCCAACTGTTCCTACTAACGAGGAAATTGTGGAAACTTTAAAAAAAGCCTCCAAAAATATGGAGGCTGAAAAAAGTAATGACCAAGAAACGGACAACGCAAATACTAATGCAGAGGCCGGGGATTCGCCCTCTTGTTGGAAGTCCCCTCCTAAATGCATAATCAATTTAGTGGAGTTCTTGGAGCGTGCCAAGAGTTATGCCCACCTTGTTGTTGAAGGTGGTCTTTTGGAAGACCCCCAAGAATTAAAGAGAATTGATAAAAGAATAGTGTCAGTTTTCGTCGTGGACAAGCGTACGCGCAAAATTTGTCGCTCGACGAAAAACACAGTGTTGAAAGCACTAGAATCCTTCGGGTTCAAGCCCCTTAGAATAGTTAAGGGTGCTAAATTTTTCATGTGGGACGTACTGTTGCCCACACCAGAAGATTGCGTCGCCGCGGCTAGCCGCGAACTAATTAACAACGACCTGATATTGCGTACAGAATACGAAGGCCGGCGAAGGACCATTGTAACAGTATACGAGGTCCCTCCTCAGGTTATCGGGGAACATCTGGCCGCTTTCTTCTCCCGGTATGGCGAGATTCTGGGAGCTTCCTGCGATAGCCTGAACGGGGGGTGGAGCTTTGATATCATGTTGGACGAGAAAGCCTTCCGCTCCATCCCCAACTGTCTGGATGTTGGCGCTTTGAAATTACCGGTCATTGTGACGGGTCGAAGACCGGTATGCTGGAGGTGTGGAGTGACTGGTCATCTCTCCTCCTCCTGCCCAGAGAAGAAGGCCTCTGGAAGTCAAGCGCCAGTTACACAAGATCCCCCCTCTGACCGCGTCTCAAAATTCCACCTCGCCTGTAATGGGCGTACCAGCCTCCGGGACCGGGTCGGTTAATCCTCCGGTCGGCGCGTCACCTAAAGCCACATTCCCCAAAGAGCCTTCGCCCGCTGCCGGTGCAGTTGTGGAGAAGGGGGGAGGGGGAATGGCTGGTTGCTGGTAAGGCCAGAGGGAAGCGCCGGACAGCGGGTCCTCAGTCCCCTGAAGCCCCAAGGAAGAAGGGCACTAACAGTCCCACTCCCACTAGCAACGTTAAGGGCGATGCCCCGGCCTCTAAGCTTACTTTCGAGGAGATGCAAAAGAAATTCGACCCTGGCTATGAAAAGTCAGAAAAGATCAAGGAATTAAAAAAGAAATTAGATGCAAAAAGAAAAGACCCAATCCCTGCATCGTCTCCTGCTAGTCCCTCCCCTTCACCAAAGAAACAACCCCCACCTTCACCTATTTCACCATCCAAAGGCAAACCCCACAGCAGAGATCCCAGCCCCTATAGACACAGGTCTTTTCACACCCCCATGAATACTCCCTCTCCTTCTCCCGTTAAACAAAAATCTACCCCCCTTCATACCCCCAAGCAATCACCGGCAAAAAATGCCGAAATGCCTCCTCCTGCTACAAAGCGGCATAGAAGCCCCACTAAAGAGGAGAGAAAAGAGAGGAAGAAGAGATTCCTTTATAACACTGGCGAGGAGGTGTGCCGGATTTCCCCAGCACAGGCTGAGAGAGCCAGGGATTATGGTAATAGAGTTAAAGACTTGAAATACCTGCTCTCTATTAAGCATTTGCCGACAAAGGAGGATCCAAATAACCCCAAATGCCCAGACCTGCTGGCAAACCTGCGGCAAACAAACCTGGGCGATGATAGAAGAAGCTGTGAACTCATGTAAGATGGCTTTACCCATTGCCATCGTGGAAAACGAAAAAATTAAAAAAAGTTCAACAGTTCTGTGCAGGGAGGGTCCCCATTTTAGTTCACCCATCCCTGTATAGAGCTCTTAAATTGACCTTCCCCTGGGATGTCGGCGGTATCTCCCAAGACGGCACCATCAAGAATGAGATGGGCCATGGGTCTATGGGAGAGGCTGTCGGTATCCTTACCCCGGCCATGTTTAATCCTGGTAAACAACCCTAATCGGACTTCTCATGGCTCTCTGGTTAGCTACTTTAAATGTGCGGGGCCTGAGGTCCGAGTCTCGCAGGGCGAGGCTCTCTCGTGACCTTCAGCGCCTCGGGGTGAATGTTTGTTGTGTGCAAGAGACCCGGTTTTCTCATGACTATGAGGATATACTGTCTAAGGGTTCGCCCTTTATTCAGCATGTTTTGATGGTCGTTCGAGGGGTGTCTCTTGGCTAGTGAGCAAGTCTTTGAAGGCTGCATGTTCCCTTGTCTTCGCAGATCCGGCGGGCAGGCTTTGTGTGCTGGATGTTACTATAAAGGATATGGCTTTACGTCTCATTGGGGTTTATGCGCCCAATAGTCATAGCTGAGCGGCCTGCTTTGTTTCGGCAGATCGAGCCGTTTTTGACGACTTCTCGTCGGGTAGTCTTAGCGGGGATTGGAATGCCGTCCTTGACCCTGAGATAGATCGCATAGGTAAAAAAAACGGGTACTAACAATCCTGATGTGAAGGCATTTCGGGACTTTATCGGCAGGTTTGATCTTGTCGATAGGTACCGGAATGAGCACCCTCAGGAGGTAGCATGGACTTGGACAACTAGTGGCGACTCGGCTCCTGGCTCGCTTGCGAGCTACCTGGACCGAGTGTTAGTTAGGAGAGTCGACGTAGGGCTCTTAGGGTGTCCAAGTTTCCACTATATAGTTTATACGGATCATAGGCTTGTCCGGGTCCGTGTAAACTTAGATAAACCTAAGGTTAGAATGGCTGGTTACTGGAAATTTAACTGTTCACTTTTTGGTGAGCAGGATTTCCGGGACCAGCTGCTACTAATGATTCAGAGGGAATTGACGGGGGCGGTTGTGGGTAACGCCTGGTGGGGAAAATTAAAATCAAAATTAGAACGTTTGCTGCCGATTTTAGTCGTCGACTCAATCTAGATAGACGAGCGGCGCAAACGGCTTTAGAGGAAAAGGTCGATCGGGCTGTTAAATCCCGTGTTAGTGGGGACATAGTCTTAGCTAAGGCAGAGTTGGCCTCCTTGCTTATCAAGAAGGATCAAGATCTGGTAGTTAGGGCTAGGCTAAAAGAATGTCTTCTGAGGCGACGAATATGGCCGCAGAATTGCGTGCAGAGGAAAATCGGAACGCGGCTATGCGACATATAGCGTGCGTCACATTACCGGATAAGCGGACCGTGACTACAAGCGCGGGCATATGCGAGGCCTTTCGGCTTTACTTTCAGGATCTTTTCACCAGGGAGCCCGGTCTGAGCTCTGCTCAGTTCGACGCCTATTTGGCTGACTTTCCCTGCCTTGAGGCAGCTGAAGCGGCTAGGTGCGAGGGTCCCATAACAGAGTCGAAAATCTGGGAAGCGCTGAAGCAGGTTGGCCTGGATAAGTCTCCGGGACTAGATGGACTTCCCACGAAGTGTACTTGAGGCTGTCGCCCATTTTTGTTCCTTTGCTGCAGCTGATTTACAACCACTGGATGAAGCAGGGGTCTTTACCCCGACGCTTCACCAGGGGTGTAATCAAGTTGCTGCGTAAGGACAAGAATGGTGGGGATGGGTTAGGGAACTTTCGCCCTTTAACGATGTTAAATACTGATTTAAAGATTTTGGCGAAGATCTTAGCCAACCGTTTGCAGCTTGTCCTGTCTCGTCTGATTGGCCCCGAACAGACTTGTGCTGTGAAGGGCAGG